TACTGTTTGTAATTACATGAAGAGTATACAACAAGCTACACATACAACTTTAGTCATTGTCTAATTTAAGTAGTCTGTCACACAGATGATTAGATTATCTGATTGGTTCTATACTATGCTACTATACCTGTAACCCACCTGTGAGTTATCTATTTAAATACTCTGTTCATTAACCTATACAGATCTAACCTAACATCACCACAACACCTAACTGCTTAAGCTAGCTAGCTCATTATGGATTTATTTATTCAGAATAGCTTAGATCCTCTCAGAATATATTATACCTATTGCATTATAGATATCGCAGAGCTAATTAACCTCGAAGCATACCTACTAGAGTGGTCTGTACCTATTTTATAGATTCATCTAGCTTAGCCTCTTGTAGATATTTGTACAATCTCAGTTCCTACTGTGACTTTTCACCAGTTTTCTGTATTCTATTTTTGGATGTTTCACAAAGCAGATCTTCCCAATCTAGTTAGCTGCCAAGCCAGGTTGATGTTATTGATTCTCTCTGTAGAATGGATTTATACACACCTGACTCGATTTGCATTTTTCGATCATAGTTTCCTTTTTAGATCAAGTATTAGCTAGTGTGATCGTTGAAGGCTATACTACTTCACTAACTCAGGATTTCTACTATGCAGGTCCCCTGCCTGTAGATCCTATCAAGATTTATTCATATAACATTATGTCTCACCAAATGCCTTGTCATACTTCCAATATCCGGATGATATTGGTGCAACATGATTTACAGGTTATAACTCTAGAAACAAACAGGGTTTACCATAAGTTGGATATAAAGGTTCAGGTAATTATTCAAATTCATTAACAGTGGGATTTGAACCCTAGACCTCTTGCATATGGTCTGGCAACCTAACCACTACACTAAAATTACCAGACCTTAGTATATTAGATATTATCATTATGCAATTTATACAGTATTTAGAGATTTAAACCTATTTTATTTATTTTGATATTAATACTAAACATCTGATTCATTTTTTGTTTATTTAGCATTTAAAAGATAAAGAAGTTATTTCAGTGTATAAGAGTATAGAATCAAGACTATCTACTATTGAGAATATATTAATCTTTCTATCTTATTATTTTTCAGCTCTTAGTATCTAACTTAGATAGAAACACTTTTTTCTTAGATCTATTTTAGCATATGATTCATTCTCAAGTATAAGTACCAAAACTGGTTCACTAGAAAATAGTTATAATAACTTGTATAACTTGATACTTCACTAAAATAATTAACATATCATGTGATATGTGTAATAGAAGAAATTCAAAATTTGGATGCTGTTACTATTGTAAATTGGGAAAGTGGAGAACATTGCATAGTTTAGCTCTAATAGTTAACATGATTTGGACATAATGGTATCTCACTTAATTAGGTGGAATTCAAGCAATAATGATAGTTATGAATAAAAGAAAAGCAGATCATTGTTTTATGTTACTTTATCAAGAAGGACATGAACTCCTCTCTTTTTTATTAAATGAGATAGCCTGTACTTTTATACATTTTATGATCTTAAGAGGCCTGACCTGTTAGAGGCTTCATGCTATTACTTTAGCCTTATACAGCCTTTACACAAACTAAAACTCTAACAATACATCATCTGTCATGAGTTCTGGTACAAAATCCCAACAACAAAATCCCCAAAAACAAAAATCCTGACAAGAATTAACTAACATTATGCTAACTCTAACCCTAATATGAGCTAATCTGTTAGGATTTTGACCTTTCTAGATTTTGTTTGTTGGGATTTTAAATAGATACTATCTGTTATATGATACACTGATTACTAATTTAAGGGGTTCCTTAAAGCAGAGTAGATTTTGCAATAATCAACTAAACCTGAATCAGAATAACAAAGAAAAACAAGTAAAAAAAAAGAAAAAAATGTAAAAAATACAAGAAACAGTAGTCAGAACCTATTTTAATGCATTAATTAAAAATGTCAGAAAGGAAATTTTACCTATATTAACAGCTCTAACTCTAATATTAATAAAATAATGATTTTTTACGTAATTAATTTACTCGTAGTGTATGTGAAAAAATTCTCATACCAAAATACTTATTATGTAAAGACTAACAATATCGATATCCAAATTTGAATAGCTAGCTCGAGATATGTGCATATGCGTTGTAAACTTTGCACTCCATGTATTCTTTTTCCTTATATACTTGTCACTTTTCAAATCTATTTTTTGAGATACTAGAAAAAATCATTTAAAAGAGCTGTATAGCAAAGTTATTATTACTTGTCACTTTATTATTTGTTTTTTTTTTTTTTTTTTTACTTACGATTTAACAATTTTATTTTTTTTTAATCAAATTCTCTAATAATGGAAAACTTTTTATTAACTTTTACACCTATTTCAACAATTACTGTTGCTACTGCTTTGTATAAGCATGCCGATTCGAGTAGTTAGAGTAGAGATTATGAGCATGAAGTACAAAAATTCGTAGGAATATTAGAAAATGTAAAAAATATGTTAAAGCAGACCCCAAGAGAAGAAGGCCATTTAAAAAAACTTCAAAGCTTTGGAACTGGCAAAAGTTTGAGACAACAAGTAGGTTCATAAAATCTCTTTTGGAAAAAACATATTAGATATGATGAACTATTAGGTTTTCTAGTATTTGTACTTTAGTAAATGGACTGTGCTAGTTATGGTAGAACATTATTTCCCATGTGATAGTAGCTAATTGCAAATACTATTTTTATAATTGCTAGCATTTTCGATGAGATATGAGATCAGAAACCTAATCTGATCTTGCGCATTTTTTTAATAGTTCCTTTTTTTATTTTTATTTCCGCAATATATTTTATAATTTTGTTTTTATTTTAGGTCTCGACCACAATTGACAATATGTATTCTCTCGTAGAGTTGAATGTTCTGGTAATTTTTCGAATAATCTTAATATAGTTTATGAGTCAACATTAATACAGTATATGCTTTTTTTTAAGCAAATTGATGCAATAGGTTGGCGGGAGGATGCAAATGCAAATATTAATTCGCTGAAACGTGAAGTTAAAAAAGTTCATAATCTATATTAATTCAATCTTTTATATTCTACATGTTGATTTGCTGTTATCAATTTCAGCGTACAAAAGAAACTTCGGGCTATGAAAAGCAAATGTGGGAGAGAGTTGAAACGGAATTACATTATATAAAAGTGGAAGAGCTAGGTTTTGACCATCCGTTGTGTTCCGGCATCCTTGATATCAGATCGGAGCCTTTTACAAAAATGCCTACATCACTTTGCAATATATTCCAAGAACCGTTTCAAATGTATAAGTTAAAACAAAACAGTACAATTTTCAATATGTGCAAGAAATTTGTTAAGAATGAAGAGGGGAGAATCGGCTCTAAAGGATACAATATCGTGAAGAATGTCGAGTTTGGAAAATGGATAGATCAACCCGAAAAACTTGAACAAATAACGAGAGAGAGATATTAGAAGCGATGTCTATATTTTTCTCTAAACTAATTCTCGATTACTAGTTATCAATTAACATATGGTATTTCTTTTTTAGAGGTAGAATTTGGAGATCTCCGAAATATAAATCATTCACAAAAAACAAGAAACCACAGATAAACGAGGGTACTTATGTATGTGAAGTAATTGCTCCGCTGATAAATATTGTGATGAATGATTTACCGAGGGATCCGTCAGCATGGGGTATATGGTACGTTTATTACACACTAGATAATTACTTTATTTCGAATTATTAATTAATATGAAGTTTCTAAATTAAGGGGTGAACAAGGAAGTTTAGCTAGTGCGACTAGGAAAGGTTCGCGAAAAATTGCACGAAGACCAGACTATATGTTACTAACCTATTTAGGAAAAAATGCAGAACTTGAAATATCTTACTTAGAAACTGGTCGGCCAGATTCAACTCTAATTAAGCGGGCACAAGATCATAAAAAGTTGGCTCGATTTTCTAAAGATTCTGTTGACACTACAAGGAGTGTTTCTAGTCTTCAAAGAATATTCAACAAATCAATTACGAGACAGCAACTGGCAATCTTTACGGTTAATGTTGCGGGTAATAATTATGATTAACCGCATAAAATTCGTATATTATCAATTAATTAGGACTAAATTTTTGTAGGAGATGTGCTAGAAATCTATGCTATGCGTAAGAAAACGGGTATCTTCAAGTATTGTATACTAGATCAAGCTCCGATTCCTTTGCATATAGCAACTCCTAACGATGTCTACAGACTTATTCATACATTGCTAACTTTAAGGGTTAGTTTTTTTTTCGCTCTTATATAATATCGAGAGTAAAAATAACTATTACGATTTTTTTTTTTAGACTGCAGTTGCGTGCACGTTATATAAGATCCTTAATAAGTCTGAAGAAGGAGATAGCGATTTTAGTGCTGAAGAAAGTCCAAAAACTGTAATGACACCTAAAAGATAAATATTAATAAAATATATCAATACACTTTATTATACTGTATATCAATAAAGCTTTAGTGGCTCATATATTTCTTTGTTTTATTTTTATAGTATCAATAAAGTGGCCCTAATGGCTCGATTCCGCATATATACATATATAATCGTGTTTAGTTTTGTACTCGTATTTCGAGATTTTATT